CCGGTGGGTTGTTGGGTTAACTTTCGGACTGGTGGTCGGGTGGCTTTTGGAGCGTGCCGTGAGGTTAGGCGGTGGACACATGCTCTGGTCGTTAATGCTGCTTCTGGTTATTCATAGAAAAAAATTAAACCGCAGATCAGTTTATTTAAATCTCCCCCACTCTGCCCCCCTCCCCCGACGATCGTCCCTTTTCCGTGGGAAGGGATGTGCGTGTGGTGTGGAGCGTGTTGAGCTCCTCTGGAAGAGGCAGCTGTGCGTTGAACAATTTCAGCGGTTTCCTTTACCTTCAATTTACTGTGTTTGTGTACAATTATCAGCTACAGAAAGGCCGTTGTCGGGGAGAACAGGGGAGTGGTGTCTTTTTTTTTTTCTTTTTTTTTTCTTCTTTTTTTTGAAGTGGATGACTGAAAGTCATTTGTGTTTTGTTTCTTACCCTCTTTCTTCCCTATTGTCATTGCGTTCACAAAAAGAGGGCAGATGATCGTTTGAGCTTGAAAGAAAAATACTCGGTAGTGCTGAAGCGCTGAATTGATTATTTTCATATTCATTAGATATGTACATTTTAATGGCGGTGTTACTATTCCAGACATTCTGTGTGTCTGCCTTTGCTAGGGTATTCATAATAAGAAACCCAAGCGAGTTTACTCATACATCTAATTAAAAAAAGTAAAAGAAATTCCCCTGACAAGTAGAAAATAACCAACACCTAAACTCAGGAAACTGCTGAAGTGTCTTCTTTGTAAAGTGGAAGGACATCACAGCTTATTTTTGCCTGGTGTTTCCTTACATCTTGATATCCGCAAATAACTACCATATTTACATTTTTTAAACTCCTCAGTTGTTCTTTGTGCTTACATCAGACTAGCTTGGCATTACTATTTCGAAATTAGATGTCATTGATTCTTAAAGTATCTTACAACAATGTAGTAAGATGGTGTTATTTGAATAACTTAAAAATTAATATAAAGTCTATCAGGAGTGTTTTATTAAGTATCTGTTAATAAGGAAAGTGCCCACTAATACATAAACAGGGATGTTTAAATTGGTTTATATATACATATTTTTATATCTGTGTGTATATATATAAGAAACAGTATGAAGAGCTTTTATGATGCAGACACAACATTTAAATTGCTTTAATGCAATGCTTAAATTCCACATTTCAACGTCATTTTTTTAGCTGGTCATAGTTATTCTGAAAGTTCCTAACGTCTTAAAGATTTTAAAGTATTTTTATTGAAGTATTTTCTTAATAAGAATCACAAGCCATTTTCAGAATTTCCATTAGCTATTTACTGCTTTATACCTTTAATCCTAAAGGTATGTGCAAAATAAAGGTGACTTTCCTTTTCACTAGACTTTCATCCTGAAAGAGTAAATGTACTTAAAAGGGTGAATACATTTATTTACATTTCTCTATTTCTTTGTTTAATTATCTGTGTGATTTTTGGATTACAATTTTAAACATCTGGATAGACACTAGGCAAGATATATATGTATACACACACATACATAATATGAGGTCAGGACTAAATTGCTCTGTGCTGAGGAAAATCTTTGTACCTCCATTTGTGATTCTTTTTATAAAAAGGTCTGGTTATCTACTACTCATTTGAATTTTGAGGAGGACCCCATTTTGTAACTGGTTATATGGGAGTGGACTGCTGTGATATACAACGTTTTGTTTATGTCATATCTAATTGCTGAAGCTCGATTTAATTAGTTTGTTGAGAATGTACTTTGAAGATGCAAAGTGATATGTAAGTGTAAGTGTCGTCATGTGGTTTTAATAAGACACTTGCCCCTTTAATGTTAAGCATCACCATAGTTCTACCAAACTGAGTTTTGACGGGTTGAGCCTTAATACTTAGTTAGAGACCTTGGATCGAAATTGGGCAAGAATGCTGTTGGAGGGAGTGCACTGTGAAGCTGTATTTTGTCTTTCTGCTACTAAAGTAGTAGTGTAGGGGAAATCTAGTCAAAGGCAACTCTTGCTGTTGGTGTCCGTGCTGCTGTGATTTTAGAAAAAACCCACAAGCCATGGACAGATCCAGGAGCAGTAGTCAGATCTTGTTTCCAGTGTGAAACTTTACATGCTATGCTGCATAGTACTTGTCTTTTTAGCTGAAGAGTGCTTTCTGTGCCTTTTCACTGGCTTGTTTTAAAAAACAAACCAAAGGCAGCTTCAGTAACTGTAGTTATTATTCAAAATAGCATGTAATAATTTTTTTTTTCCTGATTTCTTAATTTGTTTTCTAGGTACTGAGTTTGTGCTGTGAAGCTTGCAAGAAAGTAATTTTTCATGTTCCTTCTGAACTAGAGGCTGACACGTTAGTTGGCAGAGGTGAGAAACTGCGAGATGCCCATCTTAACAATACAACATTGCACCTTTGCTGGAGATGCTGTTAACAGTGAAGGAGACCTTTTTTTTTTTTTTTTAAATGGAATGAATGGATGACTGGACAGCCAGTTAAACAGCTGGATCAGCCTTTTTATGAAGGATACGCCCTATGTTTGTTACGGATTTGAAACGCTGGCTCCGTGCATCCATTTGACTTTTGCGTAAACAGCTATTGTCAGCTTTCAGTATTTATTTTAAAAGGAGAATGGCGGAGTTTAATGGTTTAAAAATTTGGAGTCTAGGGCTTAGTATTTAAATAAGTGGCTTAATACTCCAAAGTGCACCCATAACCCACAGGGTCATATGAAGAAGTCAGTAAGCCATTTGGATAATGGGAAAGAAAAAAAAAAAGAAGACAAAACCCGCACAAGCAAAGCACCCAGAAGCTGCTGCTCTGTGTAACACGGATGCAACTTCTCAGGAGTGCTGGGGCATTCAGGGCACGCAAGGAGAGGAGTTACAAAGGTGTCCTGCATGCACATTGGGTTGGGAGAGTGCTCCTGTCTGACTGGACAGCCTGTCTTGGTTCAGGGCAGCGTGCAGGTGACTGAGAGGAATAGAGGAGGCCAGAAGACACCCCACTCCTTTTTTTCAGACCAGTCTTTGAAAGGCAGCTTTTAAAGGTGTGGCGTAGGAGCTGCTACAGGGTTCTGTGCTGCCTGGGACTGATTTTGAGGGTTCAGAGGTACCCTGTGTGAGTCCTAGGACAGCAGAGGAGTATGCTCCAAATCTGCAATCCTAATCCACATTCCTACAGAAGGAACAAATAAAGTGGATTGGTAGTTCATCACAATACAAGTGGTCAGAAAATCTAGCTTTAAAAATGAAAGTTCATTGACCTTACTGTTAAATTTTAAAATGAAAGGTTGCTACAGCTGTTTAAGTATTTAGCATGTTCTCAGAGACTTTAACATTTTTCTGTGTAAATAAACTTGATTTATATAAAAACAAAACTTCGTGTTATTACAGTGCTATGAAAGAAATTGCATAACATTGAACTTAAACTTTATTTTTTCTAAACATTTAACAAAACCTTTATAGTTTGAATGACATTACTTAAACATTTATTGAGAAAGTGTAATATATTTTGCATTGATACAAGGACCACACCTTGACAATAAGACGAGTCAGGATTTTCCTGGTTGTTGTAAGGTTTTTTATATTTCTGACGTATGCAACGTATATAAGACGCTGTAAAGAAAAAAGATCCCACAAAGCTATGGCTAACTGAGCATAATGTTGACTCACATAACCATCAGAAAAAAAATCTCCAGTCTGATATTTTTGAAACGCAGTGCTGTAATATGCAGACGTATAAGACACCTTTAAGTGGGGCAGTGATATTCTCTTCAATACTAAATTTTCATTGTACACATTGACAAGGGAGAGGGGTCACTGCTGCAGTACTATAGAAAGTCTAGGAAATGTTTAACTGAGCAGTTAAAGACTTAAGAAGAAAAAGGAAGAAATCATGTCATATTTAAAATTATACTTTCCACCTGTTCTTGCATTCTTGAAAGAGAAATGAAATTTAGTTTATTGAAAGTATCATCTACATATATGGGGTGAAATTCTGCATCTACTCTACTCTGGGAATTTTGCAATCAGCTTTCATAGAGCAAGGTCCCATCCACTATGGTATCATTGAAGGAGTATTGAAAAGTTTTGATTTTGAGAACATGACACTGACACCTCTTGTACTCTGCAAGGGTCATTTGTCTAGAGTTTAGGTCTCTGGCCTTCATCCCTTTCAGGGTGCCAAATTGTTCTTGCTTAGTGCTGTGGTACTACTGCAGTTCATTGTGATTATCCTGATTTTGCTTTTTCTCCACCTGTAGAGCTGAATTACTTGCCGATGAGCCAAGTTTATTAAAGTGCATTAAAGTTTATTTTATTTTAGCCACAAGTGATAGCAAATGCCGTAAAAAATACCTGAGAAGTATGCTGAACTTACTTGGTACTTCCTATAAACTGCATGGGATTCTATCATGTACATATTAAAAAAATTGCCAATTGTTTGTTCTAGAGTTAGTCTTTATCTCTCCCGTCTGTCTGCCTCATAATTTAAAGGCCTTTGTCCTCCCGAGACTATTAAGTCACATAGTACCAGTCAGCGCTTTCCTCCTCAGGGCAAAACTTCCAAGATGCAATATCTCCGTTGGGCGTTTGCATTAATTAATCATCTTCACTGATTTTGTGGGGCATGGAGCACAAGGCAAATGTAATAGCTACTGATCCAGTAATGAGCGTGTCTACAATGTTTTTTGCATTTAAATCTATTAGTTCATTTCCAATGCTTCAATAATTTTACCAGTGTGATAGTGTCTTGTTGAAAGATACCCACGAAGCACCCATGTCCTTTAGGAAACACGAACAGAAGAGTGGAAATGCATGTGAACTTGGTCAAATCTGAGTGCATAAATGGGTTCTAGAATCTATATTTGTGACGCTTAAATACTGAATGACCAAATTTTTGAAGACTCCATGTGTCAGTAAATATAATTTTACTTAGGGAATGTTTTTTTGTTTTGTGAGGCATGTTGTTGTTTCGCTGTTTGAGTTATTGTCTGAATATTTTTTCTTACAGTTGATTTGAAAGAATGCCTTCAGTCGGCAGAGTTTATCAGTTCCAGTAATGAGAACTTCAAAATTCTAGAGGATGGTTCTGTGTACACAACATCTGCTGTTTCTTTATCTGCTGAGAAAAAGACTTTTACCATATTACTTAAAGATATTCAAGAACATGTACAAAAGAAAATACATGTTAGCTTGGTGGAAGAAGAAAAAAAGGTGAGTTTCTAATTTCAAGATACCTTACATATTTGAAATACTGTTTCACAGAGTACAGCTTCGTGCTGGGTCACTGTAGTTGACAGTTGACAGTCTTAACTTACACAGTTAAGAATATATGGGTATATTCTTACCCATCTTTTTATCTTCTAGACCCAGACACAGAAGACCAGGCATGCTAGAGATACAGTCCTCAAGCGAACCAAAAGAAGGTGGGGCCCTATTCCATCCGTTATGATAGAGAACTCACTGGGACCTTTTCCACTACAAATACAGCAGGTATATTTTGTAGTGTTTTGGTATGTGACTTTTATGATAAAAGCAGAACAAAAGTGAGCTGTATTGTATTCCCTACTGATGCCATTCCTG